TCACTTTCAAGTCTTAATATTTGGTCAAAATAAACAGGGAAAACAACTTTCCAGAGGCTATCCAAGTCCAACTTGCCCTTCATTAATAAACATGTTTTGTTTCTGCAATGATGGTTTTCACTAAGAGCACGGAATTAATTAGGTGTATTTTTTTTGAAAATATATGCATTTTTAAGAAGAATTTTTCTCAATTAATATTATTCCAAGTACTTTTTTTATCAAGTGATACTTTCTATATGTTAATCAATGAAAAATTTATAAACTGTAAAAGTTTTAACTTTATACCTCACATAGTTTTGGGGCTATTGCAAAAATAAATTTTTGGACATGTTGACCTTTGACGAAACCTTAAGCGATCCAAAGGCCTGATTACTGAAGCAAATAAAAATGCCAATATGGATATACGTGAATGAAGATTCTTTTAATATGAAATTTTCATGGCATAATAATATTTTGTACATGCCATACGTCATATCTTCTTTATTCCAGATGCAAAATATTATCATTTAGTAATTGATGAATAAATTCCAAAATTAAAATTGGATCAACCGAGATATGACCAGAGGCCTCTCACATGCTAAGCGAGAATCTTTCCCCTCGATCATCGATAAATTTGATTTTACGAGGAATAAAATGCAATCAACATATCGTATACATGTTTACATCCCGTTCTTTATCTTGAAATTGTCAAAATTATACGAAAACCCAATTAAGTGTGTCTAGTTTAGCCTCAACTTTTAAGTCTTTGAATTCAAATCAGTAGGCGTCTTCTTTAGGCCATTAGGAGGTGTCATGTAGAATTTATTTGCAAAGTTCAAAGGACTTTGAGATATCGCTGGAAAACTAAAGTGTTACAGACAGACAGACAGAAATACAGCCGAACGGAGGGATGGACAGAAGGGCGGTGGGGCATAGTATAGTTAGTTTTCATCATGGTATAAAATTGAATTGCGAAAACTCAAAAGAGCTTCTTGAGATATCGCCCAGAAATAAAAGTTAACACACTATGTTTCAATTAACGACCTTGACCTTTGACCTCAAAATAAATAACTTGAGCGTCTTTTTAAGCCTTCGGAAGTTGGGGTGAAAGATATTGCAAAAGCTCAAAGGTTTCTCGAGATATTTGATGAAAGTGTTAAAACAGACAATTTTTTTTTAATTTATGACTTCGACCTTTTGACCTCAAGATCAATAGGAGTCTTCCTTTGGCCATAGAGAGTAATTGTGAAAAATTGCAAAAGCTCTAAGGCTTTCTTGAGATATCGCGTGGAAACGAAAGCGTTGCAGCAGACTTAAAATAATATCCCCTACTTTCAGCGACAAGAATTAAAAAGAGCAAAGTTTACGATAGTTTACTTGGATACTTAAAAATTCAAAAGAACTTTTGGACGATTTGAAATCACAAGATTTTACCAAAATCAGCAGCTTAACAACTTACGACTTTTCAACTTTATACACAACCATTCCCAATGATAAATTAAAGTCAAGGCTCTTTCATATCACTGACAGCTGCTTTTTCAATAAAAACATTCTGATTGTACATACAAGAACTCTGAAGTTAAAAATTAAAAAGATGCTTGAGTTTCTGATTAACATTATCTATGTGGTTTTTAGAGACGAGGTCTTTCATCAATCTATTGGAATTCCCATGTCTTTCATCAATCTATTGGAATTCCCATGTCTTTCATCAATCTATTGGAATTCCCATAGATACCGATTGCGCCCCGTTATTATCAGACCTTTTTGTATTCATATGAAGCAGAATTTGTCCAAAATCTCATACACATGTACATGAAAAAAAAGAACTACTTGCTGTGGCCTTCAACTCGACATTTCGATGTATCGACGACGTACTGTGTCAATTAACAACAGAAATTTCCATTCAAATGTCGATACGATATATCCTGATGAGCTTGGAATAAAATATACCGCAGTCTGACACACCTATTCAGATTTTGATATTTTACTTTAAAAAGACGTTGATGGTAATTTTAAATCCTAGCTTTATGATAAACGTGATGACTAACTTTTCAATCGTCAACTTCCCTTACTGATGCAGCAATGTACATTCATCGCCTGCATACGATGTATATATTTCTCAGTTGATTCGATACGCACGGGCATGCTCTACGTATGAACAATTTCTAAAAATAGGTAAACTATTGACAAACAGTTTGTCGAAGCGGGAATATCAGCAGTCTCGTTTAAAGTCATTATTTCGTGAGTTCTGTGGTCGGTGCAATGACCTTGTCAGTAAATACAATTTATCATTGAGTCAAATGCTGACTTTTTTCGTTTTTAGCTCTACTGGTCAGAGACCAGAAGAGCTTATGCGATAGTAATGCGTCCGGCGTCCGTCCGTCTGTCTGTCTGTCCGTCTGTCTGTAAACAATTTTTCAAAACGCTATTCCTTCTACAATTTTAGTCTGATTTCAGTATTACTTGGCACACAAGTAGACTACACTAAGATACATAGAATACTGCATCGGTTTTTAATTTTGATGAACAGTGTTGCCATGGTGACTAAAAATAGAATTTTCAGTGAAATTCCTTAAAAACGCTACTCCTTCTACAGTTTTGGTCTGATTTCAATATAACTTGGCACACAAGTAGACTACACTAAGATACAAAGAATACTGCATTGGTTTTTTATTTCGATGAACAGTGTTGCCATGGTTTCTAAAAATAGAATTTTCTGTGAAATTTCTGAAAAATGCTACTCCTTCTACAGTTTTGGTCTGATTTCAATATAACATGGCACACAAGTAGACTACACTAAGATACATAGAATAGTGCATCGGTTTTTGATTTCGATGAACGGTGTTGCCATGGTTACTAAAAATAGAATTTTCTGCGAAATGCCTTTAAAACGCTACTCCTTCTACAGTTTTGGTCTGATTACAATATAACTTGGCACACATGTAGACTACACTAAGATACATAGAATAGTGCATCGGTTTTTGATTTCGATGAACGGTGTTGCCATGGTTACTAAAAATAGAATTTTCTGTGAAATTCTTTTAAAACGCTACTCCTTCCACAGTTTTAGTTTGATTTCAAAATAAGTTGGCACACAAGTAGACTACACAAAGATACATAAAATAGTGCAATGGTTTTTGATAAGTACAAACCAGTAGAGCTACAGTCTCGACAGAGACTTCTGGTTTCGTAATTGTTGTCAGTCAATTATTTTGAACACTTAAGTGACGACGGATTTCTTCCGTTATTTCCCGATCTTGACAGGGAGCGGGGAGCTGGTGTGGCCGGTCGGCAGGGGATGCTCACTCCTCCGTGGCATCTGATACCACCTCTGATGTTTTGGGGGTACGTGTTTGCTCTGCTCCTATTTTGTCTTCTTTTATGGACTTTTGATCTTTAATACTGTTCGTTATCTCCAAATGTTTAATTTCTACAGTTATAACCGCAAATAAACGTACTTATTTACTACCGCAAGGATTCAACAAGAGGTCCATGGGCCTTATAGGTCACCTGAGCATCAAGCAACAACTTTCCAATGATTGAACTTGGTTCATGTTTAAAACTAGATGCCATGGCATTCACAATTTTGAAAAAGGCACCGTTGCTCATCATAACTATGCACTTAGCAATTGCGTAGTTTGGTTACTTAATACCCATAGGCAGGGTAGGGGAACAAAAAATGTAGTTCAACTATTCAGCAATAATTAGTAGTGCCCCTACCACACATGAACCCTGATCCTAGGTCCACACATTTCTCAATTTTGGAAAAGGCACCCTTACTTATCAAAAATGTTTGATTTATACCAAGGAGCAGATTTCAATAAATTCATTTTCCGTGTAAAGGAGGTTGACCCCGCCCACCCCTTGTGGTACCCCTCATCTAGGGTCCTTGAAATTCACAATTCTGGACGAAAGGTCCTTTCTCATCATAGCTATATAGGTAGTTAATCTGCTTAATACCCAGGAGTAGAGAAGAAGATTTTATGCATTTTCACTATAAACAAAAGTCATATAATCAATAGAGCCCCTCCTGACACCAGAACCCCGGGGCCATGAAATTCACAATTCTGGAAGAGACATTCAGTTTCAAAGAAATGATCCATTTTCACTATATAATCTATATTGCCTATATAATCTATATTGCCCGCCCTAGCACTCGAACCCCTGACCCTGGGGCCATGAATTTCACAATTTTGATAGAGAACTCAACCCTAACAAAAACAAAAAATACTATAGCTAACTATAGTTTCCTATAGTTAATTATAGTAAACCATATTAAAGTAAATCAAAGTGTCAAAGTTATCACTATAGTAAATCAAAGTTTTCAAAGTGTTCATTATAGTGTCAAATCGTTCACTATAGTAAATCAAAGTGATCACCATTAGTGTCAAAGTTATCACTATAGTAAATTAAAGTTTTCAAAGTTATCATCATAGTAAATCAAAGCTTTCCCATAGTAAATCAGAGTTTCCATGGTGATCTCCATGATAAATCAAAGTTTTCCTCGTTATCACTATAGTAAACCAAAGTGTCAAAGTGTTCACTATAGTAAATCGAAGTTCACTAAATCAAAGTTCACTATATTTAACACTATAGTTAACTATAGATTTTTATGGTAGGTAATGCTTATTACACTCATGCCAACAGACTGCTTGATGTTGAGAAGTAAAGAAGAAGATTTTTAAAGATTGCATTAATTTTAGTGGTTTTGGCCTAAGCTTTCAGGCCCCAGGGGGCAGGGACAATTAAATTCACAAATCTTGTTCCCCTTTACCCATAGATGCTTTATTTAAAAATTGGTTGAAATTGGTTGAGTGGTTGCAGAAAAGAAGCTGAAAATGTTCATATGTTAACACACGACGACGGACGAAAACGGATAGCATTAGGTCACCTGAGTGACTCAGGTGACCTACAATTTAGTAGTAGAAGCTAAGTAAAATCAGAGGGCTGTCTTAAAGCTTCAGAATCTGCCATTCTGCAGACGACAAGAAATTGTTCACCCATACTGCCTAAAGTATATATTTTTACGCATTTATTTTGTAATTCGCCACAAGAAATCACAAATAAAAATAATAAAAATATAATCTCTTGCGTGTTGAAAGGCGTACATGTATATCTATTGAAATGGAGAATTGCTGTGGAAAATAAAAAGTACCGGCTCACTTCCGCCAAGGGGACATGACCCTCTTATGTGGAAGCATCTTAGGGTATCGTAGATTCTATATTGTTCATGAACTCTGGGATAGAATTGGGTCACAATTATGAATATGTACTACAAGAGGACACTGGTCAAGAACATGGCAAAAGTTACTCAGGTAAGCGATGTCCAGGCCCATGGGCCTCCTGATACACTATATAAACCATTGATCCTTAGACTGTTTTGTCATATCAAGTTATCCTTCAATTTGGATAAAACTGAATTATTTAAATTACTTATGGTTAAAATTTATTTTTTAGAAATTTGACTTCGATTGGATAAAACTGAATGGGATGCAAACAACATTTAATGTCTTTGGTATATATGTAGTATCCTTTCAGATGTAACTGATTGACAACAGAGACTCTAGTTATCACGACAAGCTGACCACATTGAAGCCATCGCTGGACTGCAGACATTACAGATGAACTATCGTGTATCCAGCGTCCTTTTCCCTTTAAAATATAATACCGTTTATCTTAAGAAAACAAACAAAAATAAGTTTTAAATTAACTCATTATAATAAACAATCAGCACATTTTAATAAATAATTATATAATTAGATGTTACTACCGCTTTAATGAAGAGTAATAAGAAGTTTTTTGTACCTCAATCATCAAATATGGAGAAATGGTGTTCATTCTGCTCAGTTACATATCACTGGGGCTATAATGGCGGCGGATTTCATAAAAGTTTATATAGAGAATGTAAAAAAAATTGAAATTTTTATATTCTAACTATTTCAGATAAAGTACTTCCGCCGATCTTTAATTTGACCTTTTATTATATTTTATACCAGAAATAACAATGTTGATACCAAAGTGAAAGTTGCGACCGCCTTTTCATTTTGAAAATTCGAATCGAAGGTAAAACATTTTTATGTTTTATTGAAAAAAGAGAACTGAATTAGTGTTTTTATCAGTTTTGGTGATAAATTGTAAGTATTTATTGCAAGCGGACAGAGTTCTTCCGCCGATTTATAGGTGCACACGAATGTCAAAACAGTTTATGAAGAGTTACGACCGCCTTTTAGATTAAAAAACGGCAATTTCGTGCATCCGTCTGTCCTACCGGTACTTTTTATTAAAACAAACGGTATCATTAATTGCCAACTGACAATTACGCAAAAATTCTACCCTTATAACTTTGACGGGGGCTTAAAGAAATAAAAATAAAATATTCCTACATGTTTTTATATTTAAACAAGAGGCCCAGGGGCCACATCGCTCACCTGAGCTAGGAAAAAGCACAAATCAGATCCGAATTGAAAAGATTACTAATGGGGTGGGGGGAGGGAGCTTGAATTCTAAGACTTCTTGAAAATCCCTCCATATCAATACTGTATATAACTTCTTAAGAAAGTTCTTGAGAAAAGATTTTTAAAGATTTTTTTTTAAAGATTTTGTTTGTATATATTACTTTGTAATAATTGGAATTTGACTCCCTATTGTTTCCCTCCCTACCCCCATTGTGGCCCCATCCTATCTCTGGAGGTTATGATTTGAACAAACTAGTATCTTCATTACCTGAGGATGCTTTCGTATGAATATCACTTATTATGACTTTGTAGTACTTGAGAAGAGAATTTTTAAAGATTTCCCAAAATATTCCTATGTAAAACTTTGACCGGCCATTGTGGTTTCTCCCTACTCCCGGGGGTCACGATTGGAACAAACTTGAATGTACACTACCTGAAGATGATTCAACAAGAGTTTTATCTTTCCTGTCCCAATGGTTCTTGAGAAGAGAATTTTTCAAGATTTTCCCCATATATTCCTATGTAAAACTTTGATCGGCCATTGTGGCCCAACCCTGCCCCCCGGGGGTCATGATTTGAGCAAACTTGAATGTACACTGCCAGAGGATGATTTAACAAAAGTTTCTTCTTTCCTGTCCTTATGGATCTTGAGAAATAGATTTTTAAAGATTTTTCCTATGTAAAACTTTGATCGGCCATTGTGGCCCCGCCCTACACCCGGGGATCATGATTTGAACAAACTTGTATGTACACTACATGAGGATGATTCAACAGGAGTTTCATCTTTTCTGTTCCGATGGTTCTTGAGAAGATTTTTTAAGAATACCATTAATTTTTCATAATTATCTCCCCTTGGAAGAGGGCCTGGCCCTTCATTTGAATAAACTTGGATCCCCTTTACCAAGAATACTTTGTAGCAAGTTAGACTGAAATTGGTCCAGTGGTTCTTGAGAAGAAGATGAAAATGTGATCAGTTTATGACAACGACAAAAACGACAGACAACGGACAAATTTTGATCAGAAAAGCTCACTTGAGCTTTCGGCTCAGGTGAGCTAAAAATTAAGAAATTGTATATTTCGAGTTTTTGCAGGATCTTATGAACATTAATTAGAGGAATATTACGTGGGATCAACCTCATGAATAAACTGCACACCATTTCTCCATTTGAAACTCTTGATAATGCTTTAAAAATTGAAAACACATTTTTTTTGTAACGATTACTTTTTGAAATAATTAACGAATAACATACGTACATACCCTATGAAGGAGTCGGAACGTATTTCAACATAATCATTTTCTGCAATTGCCTCTAGACTGTCGTAAACTATTTCTTTAAATAATAAAAAGTAATTAAGAAATGTTTATTTGTCGATTAATTAATTTTAAATAGCAGTTAAATGTTAATAATATGTCCTTTACTGAAGTAAAACCCAACAATTAAGGTAAAAGCATGTACATGTAAACTTTGGCGAAATCCTATGATAATAAGCATAACTCAGATTCGACTGAGAAGCGGGCAATGTAGTACTACCATTCACATTTTTTAACACCCACATGATGAAAATAAAAATAAAAATCTAATGACTATATTTCATCAACAGTGATTACATCCCCCCCCTTGGCACCATAAAGATCGTTTCTCTGATTGTCGAAATAGATAGTCACATAGGGGGCCGCCATAAATTTCAACACCGTTCATACCGTAAACTATCAGTATTGAAATTTCCCCGCCGAAATATTGCCGACTAGGCGTAAATAAACATTGATAATCATCAACGGTGTTTTAAAATTCGTTAATGATAAAATTATTTATTGTAGTACGTTGTTTAACGTTCCTTTCGAGAAATTTTCACTTATAATGAGACGCCACCAAATGCCAATGGAGAGCTGAAAATTTTGTCCATTACTCGGCACTAACGGTAATAGAGAAGTGAAGGGTCTTTTTCGTGCCAGGACCAACCTCGACACGGGACCTCGATTTATACAGTCTCATCCGAAGCGAGTGTGGGACATGGAGACTGGTCCTTCGGATGAAACCGTATAAACCGAGGTCCCTTGTCACATTAGGTATTGGCACGAAAAAGATCCCTCATTGCTGAATGACCCTGAGTGCCGAGTATAGGACAAAATTTAATTTATAGCTCTCCACTGGAAAGTGGTGGCGTCTCAATATGAGTGAAAAATTTTCGAGAGGGACGTTAAACAACATACAAACAATCGCCCCGATATGAATACACCTGTACATGTATATGATGCTGTAAGAGTGTAATAAAACTTCAAAACTAAGCATCTGCCTTGAAGTAGTTGTGGCGGACGTTTTGTACGAACAGAGCATGGATTAACAGGAAGTTGACAATGGATACGTGAAAAATAACCAAATCTTGTGACACACCTAAATAGATACAACTGAAATTTTAAGCATCTGCAATAAATTTAGTCAATGCTGAAAAAACTGCGTCGAAAGAAAGCACCTAAGTATGACCTTAAGGAACCTTTTATGAAAATATATCACCGAGAGAGTGCTTGCTTACGAAAATATATGGTTATAACCTTGGAAAAAGTACAATTCACAGTTAACCGTGTTTAAACAACATTATAAATATGAATGTAAGATTTAAAAAAAAAAAGACCCAACTACTCTCATATGTAGAACACCATGGATGTGATTGAAGGGGAATACAGTGAGTATTTTTTTCTTCAAGAAATCATAAGCTTCTGTATGCACTTTTAAAATGTGGGGGATATTCACGCTTCAGGTACTAGTGTTTGAATTACGTGGCAATGTTCCATAGATTTAATATTACTTGAATAACATTTACCTTTAGCTTGCTGATTAATTGGACACTCGTATACATGAGGCTTTTTCTGTTTTCTAGAAAAAAAAATGTAAATATATTCTAGTTTTTCTTCAGTAAACTTTCTATTTAAGTACTCTTTTAATTTTTTTTTTACAATTACTTCTGGTTTTTCTTCAGTAAACTTTCTATTTAAGTACTCTCTTAATTTTTTTTACAATTACCTTTTGAAGTATTTGATCAAGAGACAAGCAGATAGGATGGACAGGATAAGAACCAGTACAAGAGACATTGTTAATCCTGCAATCAGTCCAGTGTTCATTAGTACAGCACCGCTACCGTTCGATGTTGTGGAAGTTCTTGTGGGTCGTGTGCTACTTGTTCTGATTTCTTAAATAAAAAAACCATGCATTATAAAGTTATGCATATAAATTAAACTAAAAATGTAGGATGATGAGCGTTTCAAAAGAAGTTAACAGAAGTTTCCATTCCTAATAACCATGGCAACACCGTTCATCGAAATCAAAAACTGATACATACAATTATGTACCTTAGTGGAGTCTACTTGTGTGTAAAGTTATAATATTGAAATTAGATCAAAAATGAATGAGTAGCACGGTGTATAGGCATAACGGACTTTCCGGGGTTTTTTTTGTAAATAACAATGGAGTCCTCAATGAAAGAGGACTCATGCAGACAGAGAAAACTGTAGGTCTATCAAATTATGTTTCTACGGAATATTAGTGACCATGTTAATCATCACTAGGAACATATAACTGATTGCGACACCTCTATTGTTTTAGCTCAGTTAACGCTTTAATTTGATAAAACTTGTCATCAGATAAACGGATTCCGCTTTAGAAAAAAAAGTACATTCAACTAGCGGTATCATGATGAAAGATAAACGTAGATATTTTCTTATGAATACAACAAACTTGCCAATGCTAATGAATTATGAAACATTGCAATAATTCAAATAATTTAAACAGGTCCTTCTTTTTAAGGTAACCTGAGTCACTCATCCGTTTTCGTCCGACGTTGGCCGTCAATCGGTCGTAAACTTTTGAACATTTTCAGCTTCTACTCTGGAACGGCTTGCCAAAATCAACCAAATTTGGCATTTAACATCCACGGGTTAAGCGGAACAAAAATGGTTAAATTTATGGCCCCTGCCCCCCCCCCCGGGGCCTGAGGGGTGGGGCCAAAACCACCAAAATTAATGCAATTTTTAAAAATCTTCTTTACTCCTAATAATCTAGCAGTCAAACTGTTTGCATGATTGTAATCAGCATTGAGGCCTCTACCAAAACTAAAATTCATGGCCAAAGGGTCAGAGGTTCTAGTGATAGGGTGGGGCTATATAGATTATATAGTGAATATGCATTATTTTTCTTCTTCTCTGCTCCTGGTTTTAAATAAACTAAGTGCATAGTTATGATGAGCAAGAGTGCCTCTTCCATTGTGAATTTTATGTCCCCAGCGTTGGGAATTCTGGTTTTAGGGCGGGCTCTATTGATTATATATTGAAAAACATTATAATGCTTTTAAAATATTCTTCTCTGCTCCTGGGTATTAAATGAACTAATTAATACATGGTAATCATGAGCAATAGTGCCTCCTCCATAATTAAGAATTTTATGCCCCCAGGTTTGGGGGTTCTGGTGTTAGGGCGGGGCTTTATTGATTATATATAGTAAAAATGCATTAATTCTTTGAAAATCTTCTCTGCTCCTGGGTGTCAAATAAACTAATTAAGTACAAAGTTATGATGAGCAAGAGTGTCTCTTCCAAAATTGTGAATTTCATGGCCCTACCCTAACAAAAAAAAAACTATAGTTACTATAGTTAACTAAAGTTTACTATAATGAACTATAGTAAATTAAAGTGTCAAAGTTTTTCAAAGTGTGAAAGTGTTAATGATTTTGATAAAGTTTTTCATGGTGTCAAAGTTTTCAATAAATTTTTTCAAAGTGTCAAAGTTTTCAATAAAGTTTTTCAAAGTGTCAAAGTTTTCGATAAAGTTTTTCAAAGTGTCAAAGTTTTCGATAAAGGTTTTCAAAGTGTCATAGTTTTTGCCAAAGTTTTTCAAAGTGTCAAAGTTTTCGCCAAAGTTTTTCAAAGTGTCATAGTTTTTGCCAAAGTTTTTCAAAGTGTCAAAGTTTTCGATAAAGTTTTTCAAAGTTATCACTATAGTAAATCAAAGTTTTCAAAGTGTCATAGTTATATTTTTTGTTAGGGTAGGATTGGGGGTTGTGGTGTTAGGGTGGGGTTCTATTGATTATAGAGTGAAAATACATTAATTCTTTGAAAATCTTCTCTGCTCCTGGGTATCAAATAAACTAATTACATAGATATGATTAGCAAGATTGCCTCTCCCAAAATTGTGAACTTCATGGCCCCTTGCTCAGGGGTTTTGTTATTTGGTGTAAATTGCCACTTTTCCTAAGTATTAAGAATAAAATTAAAATTTGTGAAAGTGCAAGGATGTGTCAATTCAACCCGCCAAAAAATTTGAAATTTTAATAACTTTTAAATGAAATAAGATTTTTAATTAATTTTTGTATGAAATGCTATGAAAATATATAAGTCGTAATATTATAGAGAAAATATTAACTTCAAATCTGTGTCCAAGTACCTTTAAGTGTATAATTATAATAAGCAATGGTGCCTCTTTCAAAACTGTGAATTTCATGGCCTCTGGTTTAAAACATGAACCAAATTTAATTGATGGAAAGTTGTTACATGATACTCAGATTTCCTATAAGACCCGTGGGCCTCTTGTTTTAAGGTAAGGACCCCTTTTTTGACATACGAACTTTTCTGTCATCGGGCCTTTCAGTTTTATTTCTTAAAGAAATGATGAAATTTGAAACTTTCACAATTCTACTTAACAGAATTGATTGATTGATTGTATATTGTTTAACGTCCCTCTCTAGAATTTTCCACTCTTATGGAGACGCCACCACTTGCCGGTGGAGAGCTGCAAATTTTGTCCTATACTCGGCACACAAGGCCATTGCGCAGGGAGGGATCTTTTTCGTGTCAGCACCTACTGAGACACGGAAAAATCTTCTCCTCTGCTCCTGGGTATTAAACAAACTAGCCAAGTACATAGTAATGATGAGGAAGGATGCCTCTTCCAAAATTGTGAATTTTATGGCCCCTGGGTCAAGGGTGTTCTGGTGTTAGGGTGGAGTTCTAATGATTAAATATAGTGAAAATGCATCAATTCTTTGAAAATCTTCTCTGCTCCTGGGTATTCAAGAAACTAACTAAGTACATAGATATGATTAACGAGAGTGCATCTTCCAAATTTGTGAATTTTATGGCCCAAGGGTCAGGGGTTCTTGTGTTAGGCTCTGTTGATTATAAAGTGAAAATGCATTCTTCAAAAATCTTCTTCTCTGCTCTTGGGTATTAAACAATGAACTATGTACGTAGCTATTATTAACAAAAGTGCATCTTCCAAAATTGTGAATTTCATGGCCCCTGGGTCGGGGTTTTGGTGTAAGGAGGGGCTCTTTTAATTATATATAGTTAAAAGACATTAATTCTTCAAAAATCTTCTTTGCTTCTGGGTATTAAACAAACTAAGTACATAGTTATGATGAGCAAGGGTGTTTCTTCAATAATTGTGAATTTTGTTGCCCCTGGATTGGGGGTTGTGGTGTTAGGGCGGGGCTCTATTTATTTTATACTGAAAATACATTGATTCTTCAAAAAATCTTCTTATCAGCTCCTAGGTATTAAACCAATTAACTATGTACATAGTTATGATGAGGAAGGATGCCTCTTCAAAAATTGTGAATTTCATGGCCCCTAGGTCAGGGGTTCTGGTGTTAGGGCGAGGCTCTAATGATTATTCATATTGAAAGTGCATGAATTCTTTAAAAATCTTTTCCATTGCTCCAGGGTATTATCCAATGATCTTAGTATTCATATTTATGATAAAGAAAGGTGCATCTTGCAAAATGGATAATTTCATGTTGCCTGGGTCAGGGGTATTGGGGGGGGGAGGGGGTGTTACAGTACAATGAACATGGTCTGAAGATAAATTAATGCTTTGAAATCTGCGCTGTGGTATTAATCAACCATTTATGATGAAATAAAATTTATGATAAAATTTCGAAAATTTTGAAATATGTTGCTCCAGGGTCAGTGGTTCCTGTGGGGTGGGGTGCACGACTGGTTATAACGTTGAAATGTATTTTCTCTTTGTTACTCGGATCTGGATCTAACTCTGAGTATTAAGTTACAAGAGTAAGAAAGCTAAGTGTATAATTATGATACGCAATGGTGCCTCTTTCAAAATTGTGAATTTCAATGCCTCTGGTTTAAAACAAGAACCAAATTCGATTGTTGGAAGGTTGTTTCATGATACTCAGGTGACCTATAAAAGCCCGTGAGCCTCTTGTATAAAGAATTTATGCATTTTCAATATGTAATCATTAGAGCCCCACCCTATCACCACAACCCCTGACCCTGGGGCCTTGAAATTTACTATTAATGAGGAGGCAGATTTATTCAATTTGACTATAAATATTGGTTAATTTATCAAATTCTCAGGAGGAAAGAAGATTTCTAAAGAATTAACATATTTTCACTATATAGAGCCCCGCCCTAACAACAGATTTCCTCACCCAGGAGCCATGAAATTCACAATTTTAAAAGAGGCACTCTTGGTCATCAGAACTATATACTTAGTTTTTTTTAATACTCAGGAGCAAAGAAGATTTAGTATTATTGTACTTTCACTATATAGTCAAATTTCAAGATTTTCAAAGAAATAAAGCACTTCCAATATTTGATCTATATAGCCCCGCGCTAACACCAGAACCCCCGATCCAAGGACCATGAATTTCACAATTTTGATAGAAGGCTTACTCCTTAATGCATGTATAATCATCCCAACAGTTTGACTGCTTGATGTCCAGGAGTGAAGAAGATTATTAAAGATTGCATTAATTTTTGGTGGTTTTAGCCCCACCCCTTAGACCCCAGGGGGGCAGGGACCATGAAATTTACAAATTTATTTCCCTTTACTCATAGATGCTGTTTACCAAATTTGGTTGAAACTAATTCAGTTGTTTCAGAGAAGAAGCTAAAAATTTTCAAAAGTTTACGAACGACGGAGGACGTCGGACGAAAACAGACCTAAAAAGTGTCGATTTGACCAAACAATTGAGCAAACAGTAATCCATACCCGGTAGCACAACAAAGTTATTAAAACTTGTGAAAATTTTAAAAAGTTCTATAACATTATTTTGTATGTTTTTTTAAACGTTATCATAACGCTTTTCTAAAACATTGTCCTATTATGTTTCGAATTCATCAACCTCTTCGATTTTACCGCAAAAATTATCGTTCGCTGAACGAAAACTTCCAAGAGTATTAGACAATAGAGTGGTTCACGTCATAAAATTATTGATTGTCAATTCAGTGTTATGTATCCTAGGGTTTTAGTAACTGTACTTTAAAATTGAAAGTGACTTTGAGAGCAGTGCTGAATTTGAAATTTATGTTTTAAGTATTTACTTGTTTGCATATCATAAAAAATTGTCGCCCGCGTGGAACAGTGGTTAGAAAGTATGCTCTAGAGTTGCAAATATGGAGCTGATCTTTACATTGCGGTTTCGAATCCCACTGTGGGACGTGCAGACCGGTCCTTCGGATGAGCCTGTTAAAAACCGAGGTCCAGTGTTGCTGTAGGTGCTGGCACAAAAAAGATCCCTTTCTACTCAATGGCCCAGAGTGTCAAGTATAGAACAAAAGTTTTCAGCTCTCCACCAGCAAGTGATGGCGTCTCCATATGAGTGGAAAAAATCTTGAAAAGGACGTTAAATAATCAATCAATCAAAAACAATTTATTGCATGAATTTGGAGGTCAGTGTTTGCTCTGCTCTTACTTCGTTATGTTTATGGATTTTTGATCTTGAATACTGTTCGATATCTCCGTATGTTTCATCATATGAGGCGCAGATTTATTCATTCAAGAAAAAATATTTTGCTTGGATAAAAAAGATCATTTAATAATGAATTTTTTAAAGAGTTCCTTTGAAATCTAAGCAAGCACAAACAGTTCATGACACTGTAGTAGAAATGTCCTTAATCAATTAAATTATAATCCCTATTAACCCCCCCCCCCCGCCCCTTTAAGCGCCCCCTTAGGTCTTTTTCAATTGTCTGGAAATAAGTGCCCCCTCTTCAGTGATTAAAATTATCTAGAAAGACTAGAATCGTATCAAAAGTCTGCAAAAATTTGAGTAAATTGAAAATGAAACTTGTTTATTATCCAATTTCTTGATGGAAAATGATTCATTTAGCACACTTTGGGTGGATGATCTTTATTTTAAGTAAAGTTAGTACTTATTTTGGAGATTCTTTGAATTTATTTTCTTTTTCCAAAATATTTTTGAGTTAAAATATGATATGAAATATTACTAAGAGAATACCAAAATAACCTCCCCCTTTTCGCAATTTTCTAAGCGCCCGGGGCGGTTAATAGGGATTATCCGGTAATATGCAAATTAGTTATCAATCAAATGCTTCCAAGTGTGTTGGCTATGTTACATCAAACGTTGTAGTGAGAAAGACGATGACACAGCGTCTTTGGGTAAGGCTATAAATACCGGCGAGCGCTGATGCTCTAGTTAGTCTACCGGTGGCGGTTGAATAGTGCGGATCGTGATAAAGGGTAAGGAGTTTATTGTGCTTCATTTGCGGGTCTCAAACTACTACAGACATGCCATTTCAGGTACATTACGTTCCAAACCTATATCAATAATAAAAATTTATTAGTGAGTGTTTGGAAACACTTCTCTGAGACATAAGGTCTGGGAGCTTTGGAAGCTCCAAATGGTTTCAGACCTTGAACAGCTGGGCACTATGATAGCAAAGGGACATTTGCTTGTACATATTTAGCAAATCTAATTCACGTAATTCTCGCTTAGTTTTTTTTTTTACCAATCAATTATAGACGTAGGTAACGTAAGGAAAGTATTTATTTATTTCTCCATGACTGGAGAACACATTTTTACAGGATTTGAAGACGTATTCACCGGAGAGTCAGTGCGCGGGCTGGGGCAATTTGACGTCACAATACCTTATACAATATTGAAAACAATGGTTGCAGCCGCCGGAGTTAGCTGTAGATCTGAGCAAGAAAACTATTAGATAAGTCTATTGCAGAATTATTTCCACACCCAGCGAAAGGATGGAATTTAAAATTGGTAAAATCGCCTGTGTGGCACAGTGGTTAGAGCGTCTGCTCTAGGGTTGCGAAGTAAGTTGATCCTTACGTCGGGGGTGCGAATCCCACTGTGGGACGTGAAGAGACCTGTCCTTCGGATGAGGCTGTATAAACCGAGGTCCCGTGACGCAGTAGTCCCTGCTCAACGGCCCCGAGTGCCAAGTATAGGACAAAATTTGCAGCTCTCCATCGGCAAACGGTGGCGTCTCCTTACAAGTGAAAAACTCTCGAGAGGGGCGTTAAACAACATACATTAAAGCTTCGACAAATGAAAATAAATTCGTCATGCAGCTTTCAGTGTGACTCGTATTCATAACAATTCTGACTACGAATATTATTGCGGGACATGGAGTCTGGTCCTTCTGATGAGACCTTTTAAACCGAGGTCCCGTATCGCATTCGCAGAAGGTGCTGGCACAAAAAAGCATAGGACAAAATTTGCAGCTCTCCACTGGCAAGTGGTGGCGTCTCCATATGAGTGAAAAATTCTCGAGAGGGACGTTAAAGATTATACAATCAATAAACCAAATTCACCACCGAAAGAGTCCATAATTGTATGGTAGTTTCCGAAATATTCATGCAATGCATGTATGTTATTCAGAGGGAATTTAATTTACAGTACAATATTTTTCTTCCCTTCTGACAATTGGTATAATAGACTAGGAATTCATTTACTCCGGACAGAAGTCTAATAATCTGTTTGTCGGGTGCCTTTGATTTCGAGTTATTCAGCAATTATTTTCTCTGTATCCTGGAACATGGAATCTGGAAAATTTCTAAAGTTTGGTTGGCGGAATATTTTATATTTGCACAGATATCTGATGTTTGGCCAGTTAGATTTATAACGCAATATCAATTTAGGGAAGTTTACTTTAACAACAATGATACATATATGAATGTTATTTATTAAGTGGCCGAAATATGGCTGAAATAGTGTCGACTCGGATTTGAATCATTTATTTAAGAAAGCAGTTAATCGTGTACGCAGTTTAACACTCGAGATGTCTAGAAATACCAACCAGTAGTTGACCATGACGCATTGTCTGTCCTACGTGATGTTGTCGAAGATGCCGATCGAATACAAACTCCAGTTTTCTGTTCACAGACTCCGGTGTCTTGGCATTCACAGCGTTTATCACACACTTCTCCATAAAACCCATCTAGACAACCGGAAGAACAAAAGTCACCGTTCAAGACATTACATGGATTCTTACAGTTATTATAAGGACACGAAATTTCACATCTTGATCCCATATACCCTGGTTTGCATCCATTTTGACAATTTGCTGTGATGAAATCACAACTTCCATTCCCGCCACAAAAATTAGGACATGGCTGTGTACACAGCGGTCCGAAAAAAGTCGCCAAGCACTTCTTCTCATTGCAGATCCCGGAAGCTATATTACAGCTACCATTTCCGGCGCACTGACCACATGACTGCTTGCAAGTAAAAGAAAAAAATCCAGGGACACATCCATAGTTGCACTGCGACCTTTCATCACACGATCCATCACCGCCACAATATCTACAAGTCTGAGCGGTCACTGTGAAACAAAATAAGCAGATCAGAACTAGTACCATTTTACTGTACTTGACGTTCAAAAATGAATCACAGAAGTTGTAAGATAATTCCAAAACTCACCTATCGTGCATATTATTTTGATATGACAGAAAACAATGGCAAAATTTATATTCCCTATTTCATCCATGCAGACAAATATTCTGTATGTTTTCCTTAAAACATAAAAGTCATATAGTGGTGATTAAGGAATTATAGTTTGTCAAGTCATATCCGAAGTTGTTTAACCATAGGCCAAATCAAACGGAAATGTTGCCTTACCATATAAATACTAATGACACACATTTCTCGATTATAAACTTCCCACACTAAATAGTCATAACTTGACTCGGAACATGCGTCACATTAACTTTTTTAGAGAATACCCTGCATTAATTTAGTAAAAAATATCCTTTTCTCATTTTTGAAGAGTACAATTGGGTTGATTAAGATCAAAAGTGATGTATGTGTAGTAACATTTGTTATCCCCTCGAAACTAACGTGATTGATTATACTAAGTTTAATGTCCCTTTCGAAAATTTTTTACTCATATGGAGACGCCACCACTTGCCGATGGAGAACTACAAATTTTGTCCTGTACTCGGCACTCAGGGCCATTGAGCAAGCACCTACTGCAACACGGGATCTCTGTTTATATCATCCGAAGGACCGGTCTCCACGTCCCACACTGAGATTCGAACCTACGACGTAAAGATCGAATCCTTATTACGCGACTCTAGCGCAGACGCTCTAACCACTGCGCCAAGCGGGCGACGGCAACCAACTTGGAGATACAGGAACAAGTCTGTGTTTGTGTTAGTGTGTCCTGTAAAATGCAGAATTGACATAATCAGTATCGGAATCGATTGGAATGCTGGCTTGATTTAGAGATATGCTTTACGAGGGGATGATCCGCTTTACTGCGTCCTTGTTAAATGTTGAAGACTAGTCGATTACTTAATTTAGTAGAGAAAATGTATGCTCGTTTTAATTTATAACTATTTATATCGGTATGCCCTCTGGTTCAGATAATCTTACAGACATAATAGATAAGAATAAGACATAAAAATTTCCGTTTATTAAAATATGACTCAGAATGAACAGATGATTGTTGAGAATGAGTTGTTTATTAAGGAAGTAAATCATCGCAGTAAATGCAAAAAATAACTTGAACCGCACTTATGTTTTCTATAAATTACTCAGCAGAATAATAGATTTGACGGAAATGGTGATTGATATCCTTTCCCATAGAAAAACCCTATTACGTAGACATTGCATGTTTACATCGTTCTTTGTGAACTTGTATATACTAGACGTCGTCAAACTCAAGACTGATGGATTGTATGTTGTTTTACGTCCCATAAGAGAATTTTTAACTCATGTAAGAGACGTCAACGTATACCGGCGACACTAAACCGGAAACGAATTTTTTCTGGCCAAACCCAGATCTATTTGTTTAGGTGGGTACCCCCAAATCACGTTGCCATCCTGGGTTTTTTTTTCAGTTGAGAGGGGGAATTTTTTCCGGATTTTTTTTTACGAGAAAAACTTCAGATTCCTGTGCTATATCACAACTGCTAACGTTCACCGGAAGTCACAGCACATGTGCATCCTCCATTAACTCTCATCAAGGAACGTCTAAGTCCTGTGACGTTCTCTCGTCACCACATGCTACATGTAGTTGCTTTCACCGTAGTCCCGGGTCTATCGCCTCCTACTGCGGTTATCCTATCAACATCGGTTCCTGTTCAGCATTGATGATTGGACATGACACGACTGGCCCTCCGTCCAACGCTCCTTGCTGACCTCAGACGCTTATAACAGTCGTCAACTGACCTTAAGCCCCTCTACTATACACATTGTATTCTCCAAGCACCTTATAAGGTGCTAGAATTCCATGCACAAGCTGAAATAGTCCGCTTAATGAGTTATGTGGCTACCCGTAAAATTCAGTTCTATATCTGACCGAACGTTCGCCACTTTTATAAAGCATTCAGGGGGAAACGGCACACCTCCGACTGGTCACGCTACCGGACACCAAAGTAGATCTGACCACTGACAAAACCGGTCTCTTTTTAGCTCAAGTGAACTTTTCTGATCAGAATTTTTCTGGTGTCTGTAGTCGTCATCGTTGTAAACTTTAAACATTTTAATCTTCTTCACAAAAAACCACTGGGCCAATTTCAACCAAATTTGCCATGAAAGTATCCTTGGGTGAAGGGAATTTAAGTTTGTTCAAGTTGAGGGCCACGCCCTCTTCCAAAGGGAGATAATGAATAAGCGAAAAATAAATGGCGTCTTTTAAACATCTCAAGAACCACTGGGCCAGGAAAGATAAAACTCATGTGGAAGCATCCTCAGGGAGTGCAGATTCTAATTTGTTCAAATCATGACCCCCCGGTGGTAGGGCGGGTCCACTGACTGATCAAAGTTTTACATGAAAGTTTATTTGAAAAAATCTTTAAAAATCTTCTTCTCAAAAACAGCAAAGCCATGATTGGTAATATTTTATATGGGAGCATCCTCAGGTGGTGTGGGTTCACGATTGTTGAAAACATAACCCTCAGGGGTAGGGCGGGGCCACAATGGACGATCAAAGTTTAACATAGGAATATATAGGTTAAATCTTTAAAAATCTTCTCGAAAACGGCAAAGACAATAGGAATTTATAAGGGAATTTTTTTTTAAATCTTCATCTTTGAAGCAGCAGAGCAAAGATTGGTCAAATTTATGTGAAAGCAGTAGAAGTAACATCGTGAAAAATTGCTTATGGCTAACAGCTTAGTTGTTATTCAGGCAGACTAAGGGTACCTCAAAATCACATCTTAGCTAATTAGCTGACATTAAGTCAAGTGTTTCTGTTGTAGTTTGTTCAAATGAAGCATGGTTTTCATAGAATACTATAAAAGGAAATCAGATCTAGTCTCAAGTCCATTGTGACAAATGAAAGAGAAATGAATTCTAAACCTTAAAACCTTAAATATTTTCCCTTCATCATGTATGTGATGGTAATTTCAAACCTCATCAAATTTCTAGGTATCAGGACTAGTAAATCCTATGACTTGATCACTCCTTCTGTCATACACGAGATCTGCTTTAATCTTCATTTCATCATGAAGAAGGGCAACATATCTTTTCTCTGGTGGCAAGTTATTTGCTATTTTTTTCAACTCCTTCAAATAAAATCTTGACATTTATTGTGCATTTTTCAGCAAAATACTAAAAATGTTAATCATCTTTGAAAACTGAAATTATACCTTAAAAACCCAGAGGTTATATGAAACATGAATTTGGTGGGATACAGTGATTTTGTAATCCCTCAGGGTAGAGTTGTTAGGGAGGCGAAGAATTCCCGACTCTCGTAATGCTTCATATGCACGGGAACTTTGAAATTGGAGGTAAATGGCAAACCGAATCATCATCGGATGCCACCTCATTCCTTTTGAATACAATCATGGTAATAAAGAAGTGTATAATAAGAAAAATGACAATCATTATATCTTTCCAGCAGAGAACAATAAAACAAAAAAGCTTCATCTTTATGGTATCAATATTAATTTTTCACCCTTTAGTCCAGTATGGGTTGTCGAGACATCACCTATGTAAAAGTTCAAAATCCCTGTAGTTATTTGTTACTGAATATATCTGTATAAAAATCTAATTAATTACCAGTATCGAGGATATAATGCCTTTATCGGGGATATAATTCCTTTTTAATAAATCAGCAGCAGCAGTAAAAATTTACTTTGATGTCTACAAACTACTTGGTAAATCAACCTCTTCAAGTATCATACTGATTTACATTACTTATACTTAGGGCTTGTTGAAAATGCTTTCTTTTGCTCTCACCAAAACAAATCCATCAGAATTGTCAGATGTCCTACTCTCTATTGCTTGAAAAAGGTCCTGGCTAACTTTATCCTCGACCATTGCCTGATCCCCACTCTGTAATGCTGCCAAAACACTTTGCACTTTTTTATTTTCTTGCCGTGCTATTTTCACCTCCTGTATAAATGTACTTCGAGGGAGAGAGACTAATGGAATCTTAGGATGGACCTTGTAAAGTTTTGTTGTTAAAATATGGTTTAGTATTACCAACAACTCTGCACAGCCTTCACACCTATTGGTTTGCTTTATTCCATCTTAACAGGTATGAGCTCTAATGATGGTATTTGTGACAGGCTTACCATTTATTATAGCTGTTGGCTGTTGAATTAAACCTAAGAACACGAACATCTGCAAAGTCCCCCACACATGGACATTTGGACAAGGAACCAACATCTTAAAGTAAAACTTGTAAGGGTAACATTTTCTTTTGATTTGTCCAGTCCTGTGACACACATTTCTACATGAGTAAAAGTATGACAGCATATTGTAACTTGTTCATTAATTTTTGTCTTGTGCATGGATACACGTGCAATTTTATACGTAAACTGAAGCGTACTATAAATGTTCATATAATGAAAAATCAATATAAAAAGGAATACATAATTATAAAGAGCACTTATATAAATCTTCTTAAAAAACTTTTATTGATATGTTGCTAACGTTCAGATTGTAGAACTGTATATTGACACATGAAATATCAGCAGTGCGAATCTTGATCCAGCATCTTTAAAAGTGTAGGACGACCAGCAACCTTGAACTATGTTGATTTTTAAATCATCCAATAGAAAATAAATTTCACAACTGCAAACGAGAGAAAATATAGGGTTATGCAGTTTGACAATTGAATAAATATATAGAAAATGATTTAAAATAGTGGAGCGTTTATTTTTCGATGATTCAGCATCATTCCGATCTACAGAAAAGTTAAAAAATATCTATGCAGATATTGTGTATACCCCGGTAGGTACAGACCTTGAAAAAACACATTTAATGAGAGATCTGCATTGATGACCACTCTCTTTGCCCAAACACCAATACTGAGTTGTCTTATTTTAGGGTAACCAGGCTAAACACTTTACACTATCCCTCTGAACTTTTTCCAGGTTGTAATATGCAACTTTTCTTGGCAAAATTGGCGATTTTAAAACACCAATTGCCGGTGGAGAGCTGCAAAATTTCTATACTCGGCACTCATGACCATTGAGTAATCAGGAAATTGTTTCGTACCAGCACCTATTTTGATACTGGACCTCGGATTGTACGGTCTCATACAAAGACCCGATCTCCACGTCCCTTAGTGGGATTTGAACACGCAACTCCTTACCCCGAGACTCTAGAGTAGACGCTCCTGCCACTCTGCCACGCGGGCGACCTACATGCGTCGTAATGCATTCATTTTCATAAGCATTCCATAAAGGAATGTTAAAAAATTAAATGACAATTCCAATTACATGCATATATCAACTGTCTAAAATGTGTTTAAATTAATTGAATATTAATGCACACAGATCTATCCAAAACTTTTATTTCTTGTAACAATAAAATACTTTCAATTGATGCTCACTTTTAATTTTGTACACAGTCTTGTTTAATCTCTTTTTTCTGAAAGTCAAAGGACTTGGATATTTAGAATGCAACAGAAAATCTGTAAACATTATTCGCATGTTTTCCAGAGATGAAAGAGTAAATGTTAAAACATTTTGACAAATTTTGTCACAAGATTGATTTAAAATGGAAATGCATCGATCCAAATCGAGTTGAAAATGGTTCTATTTTCTTATTTGATCTTTCTTCAGAAAATCGTTGACCTTTTCTGGTTGTGTATGGTGTTCATATTTTCAAATAACTGTTTAGACAATATCTCAAGGTTATCGAAAATTTTCACGACCATTTCCGTTTTCAAACTGTTAGCAACATCTCTTTCATGACTTTAATGTTTCTACTGTATTCCCCAAAAATAAAATCGAGACCTTGATATGCATCGCGGGGCCACGGAAAAAAATGTGTTAAAAGTTATACAATCTTGTATTTCTGAGGGCATCAGAACTGATAAAAGTCTTTCATAAATTATCTATAAGACACATGACTCTGTAAACCAAGGCAACATAATCTGACAAATTAAATGCAAAGTTTGTCTTTTACCAACTGATAAAAGTCTTCAAAATTATGCTTGACCATGACTATGTAAACCTAAAAGAATAAACCAATTTCATACGAATATATACAGATAATACTAAATTTTAGTAAATCATCAAATGCAATATGGTGGTCTTTACTTCATTTGCAAACGCAAGAGATTACCTTTGGTTTGAAAAATTTCAATTTTTAAAAATCCAATTAAGTAAAGTTAAGGTGTTGAATAACCTTCGGTTTGACAAAATTTAAAATTTAAAAAAAATCTTATAGAGTGAAATCCAAAAACATTTCTGTAAAGAACTTTGAATTAACTATATTCATCTCTTCATAGTGTATGTCTGTCAGTGGGATAATCCATGAAAATTTTGTGGTTCTTCCATTATCCGTTGCCATAACAGAAAGTATAAACATGTTAAAGTTCTTTTGACGCAAAGGTGAAAACTTTCAAAAAATTAATACCAATCAACAGAGCCCTGCCCTAACATGCCAGGAAATTCACAGTTTTGGAAGGAGCACCCCGTCAACAAAAGTATGCATTTAGTTTGTTTGCTGAAAAACCCGGGAGCAGAGGAGATTTTAAAAGAAATAATGTATTTAACTTAGATATTCAACAGAGCCCATCATAGTAAGTATCGTGTAATAATAATGTAATTAAATGTTTTTGCTGGTCGACTTGAATTTCATCAAATTTCAAGCCAAGTTTTTATTTTGCTAGTTTTATATTTTCACTCACTAGATCTAAGAGTTTGTACTGAAGTGATCTAATTCTTCTACGATTTATTTTTCTAATTTTCTAACTCCTTATTCAGTGTAATAATTTCTATCAAATTTTCCTTCACGTCGTTCACTGTAAATGAATGACCTTTTTTGATCTTTTTAGGTCACCTGAGTAAACTCAGGTGACCTATTGCTATGTTTTCGTCCGTCGTCGTGCGTCGTTCGTTAACATTTGAACATTTTTAGCTTCTTCTCTGAAACCACTGAATCAATTTCAACCAAATTTGGCATATAGCATCTTTGGGTGAAGGGGAACAAAAATTATGAATTACATGGTCCCTGCCCCCCTAGGGGATGGGGCAAAAACCACTAAAATTAGTTCAATTTTTAAAAATCTTCTTCTTTATTCCTGGACATCAAGCAGTCAAACTGTTGGTCTCAGGGTCAGGGGTTCTAGTGCTAGGGTGGGGCTAAACAGGTTATGTATTGAAAATGCATTATTTTTTTTGAAGTTCTTCTTTTCTGTTTATGGGCATTAAATAAACTAACCAAGTGCATAGGTAAGTTAAAAATGATCGCCTTTTCCAAAATTGTGAATTTCATGGCCCCAGGGTCAGAGGTTCTAGTGCCAGGGCGGGGCTATATAGATTATATAGTGAAAATGCTAAAATTCTTTGAAATTCTTCTTCTTTGCTCCTGAGTATTAAATAATACCAATGCCAATGATCTTAGTATATATTCATGACCCAAAAAAACCCTGCTTCTTCCAAAAATGGTTAATTTCCTGGCCCCTGGGACAAGGGGTTCTAGTCTTTAGGGGGGGGGGTAAAAAAAATGAATTATTTCTGAAACCAAGTATTAAATAAACATAGCTTTGTTGAATAAGGCTGCCTCTTCCAAAATTGTGAATTTCATGGCCCCAGGGTCAGGGGTTCTACTCCTAGGGCGGGGCTATATAGGTTATATAGTAAAAATGAATTATTTCTTTGAAAATCACCTTCTTTGCTCCTGAGTATTAAATAAACTAACCAAGTACATAGTTCTGTTAAATAAGGCTACCTCTTCCAAAATTGTGAACTTCATGGCCCCTGGGTTGGGGGTTCTGGTGTTAGGGCGGGGCTTTATTGATTATATAGTGAAAATGCATGAATTCAAAGGAAAATGCATGAATTCTTTGAAAATCTTTTCCTTTGTTATTGAGTATAATGCCAATGATCTTAGTATATATTTATGACCAAAAAAAACCTGCTTCTTCCAAAAATGGTTAATTTCCTGGCCCCTGGGACAAAGGTACACTGTACTTTGGGGGGGGGGTAACATAGTCTGAAATTATTTAATGCTTTTAAATCTGCACTTTGGTATTAATCAACAGCATGATGAAATAAACTTTTTAAAAATTTCCAAAATTTTGAAAGATGTGGCCCCACGGTTAGTGGGGAGCTCAACTGTGGACCCGCCCTAACACAAGAAGCCTTGACCCAGGGGCCCTGAAATTCACTAAAAGTAGAAATGCATTTTCTCTTTGTTACTCTGATCTGCGTCTGGGTATTAAGTAACCAAAATAAGCATGCTGAGTGTATAATTATGATGAGCAATTGTGCCTCTTTCAAAATTGTGAATTTCATGGCCTCTAGTTTAAAACATGAATCAAATTCAATTGTTGGAAAATTTTCGCATGATACTCAGGTGCCCTATAAGGTCCATGGGCCTCTTGTTGTAATGGTATATGGACCCAGTCACTTATGTTCATCTTTGTGTCCCTTTTTCGTCTTTCGCTTCAGGTTTTGAAGGAGAACTTGGTCGTTGACCTGGAAATCATGCCGTACTATGTTGTGCCTCTATCGTAGTTTGTTTTCTGCTTCTTCTGGGCACGGGAGATGTTGTCCTTGGCTTCCTGAAAAATTCTTTTTTGAGAGTCAATTGATTGTTTAATTCGACTTTCAGTAATCTCATGAAAGCTTACGTCTGTACAGGGCTCAAGTTGGTTTTGAAGCCCATCCTCGGTGTTCGTAGCCCCTTTAGATAAATTGGAGAGTAGCCGGTGGAGGACTGCCTTGTCATGTTGATTGCTGAAACCACATGGTCAAGGTACTTCGGCCAGTCGTCTTCGTGGTCATGGACTACTTTCCAAAGACTCTGCTTCAGCGTCTGGTTGGTCCTCTCATCAAGGCCATTGGCTTGAGGATGATATGGCGTTGTAAAAATGTGGTTGATTCCATAGGAACTGGTGAGCTCTTGAAGTCTTTGGTTTTTGAATTTGGAGCCATTGTCAGTCATCAGTATGCGAGGGGCACCATGACGCAGAATGGTCTTGATAAGGAAGGCAGCTATGGTGTTGGCAGTTTTGTCTCGCACAGCTTCAGCCTTTGAAAAGTAATCTGTAATAGTAATAACATGTTTATAACCATCTACAGACTCTTTAAAGTTGACCACATCCATACCAATTTTGTTCCACACATCTGTTGCCACTGGTATGACTTGTAGAGGAGGGGCTGTTGATGGAGCAGCATTGGCAGATCTCTGACATCTATCACATTCTTTCACCTGTAATGTAAAATTAACCATTGTTACTCACTGTATTTTTTTGTTTGTTATATGCATGGAGTAGTCAATGTTATGTTCATATTTTACAAATATAATTTAATAGAGAGTTACTAGTATTCTAAATGAAGAGTATTTGGTGTCTTCCTATAGATTGATGACATAGTTATAAAGAGCAAAAGTGCCTCTTCTAAAATTGTGAATTTTAGGGCCATGTGGTCAGGGGAGCTGGTGTTAATACTGGGCTTTATTGATAATGAATTGAATAAGCAGATGAACTAGTAGTACCTATATAGTTATGATGGGACTATTAGGGGTGGGGTCTACTTATATACTGAAAATGAATTGAAATTTGCTCCTTGGTATTAATCTAACATTTTTGATAAGCAAAAGTGCCTTTTCAAAAAATGTACAATGAGTGGACCTAGGGTCAGGGGTTCATGTGTGGTAGGGGCACTTTTGATTACTACTGAATATTACTGATTAGATTGATGCAATTTTTGTGCCCCAGGCCCTACCCTGCCTATGGGTGTTAAGGAGGCTTGGGGATCAATAAATTACCAAAAAATTAACCACCAGATATAACTTAAATTTTTAGATGATATCTTTAGCTGTCAACTATCAATTGACAAAGAAAAATGTCATAATCAGTTTTAGAATTTTGATTATTTTGTATATCTTTATATGGAGCTCTTCTTCTAAAGGAGAAAGATCACACTGTGTACGTATAATATTTGAATATAAGATTTCATGGCCCACCTTAAGAATAGGTTTGCCGATTTCTTTTCTCTATTATCAAAAGACACATTGTTGAAGCAGTCTTGTACATCTTATTTGTGATGGTACACAGATCCAGCAATACAAAATAAATGATTAAATATCAGACCCTGAAAGAATTTAGCTGAACTTGTTATCCTTTTTCCTTCAAAAAGGTAATTAAGTGACTCCCTACCCCAGACTTTTCACCTCTCTTTTTGATCATATAGCTTAAATTGGTTAGAATGAAAAATAAATCTTGCAAATATAATGACCAATCAAAAAGTCCTTTTCCGAAGAATTGCAAATTGAATGCAAGATTCCAGGCCCACTTTAGCGATTTCCCAGATTGTTGAAGCAGTAGGTCGAGTTTAACGACGTTTTTTTTTTTTACTGTTTGCACGTGTGATGTTACCTTATGATTGCCCTGTCCCTAAGTTGGGACTTCGAAAGATTGACAGCAGAATGGATATGGTTGCAGGGATTTTATTTTACGGAGTTTCATACGAATATACAAGTTAATGTAAAAAAGAAAAAAGTTATGTAGGGCTGTCCAATGTAAGTTAACAATGGAATGACTGACCTCAAACTGCCCATAATGTCAATTATTAAACTCTCCTCGGCATTCACGCGCCTCAGACCGTGTAATATCTGATATAATGGACAATTTCGGCTTATGACCAATACGTAACTAGTAAATCTATCTCGGTACTTACAGTTGAAGCCAAAATTAAAAAAACCCGTATGATATCGTTCCCCTTTTCGCTTACAAAGACAAACTTGGTATTAACAGGTAAATCTAAGTTTGGTACAGATACAATGTGAGACTTTTTCTATTTTTGCAGTCGAATTGGGATTACTTTATTTGCCCTTTCTCTGTTCCTGACTTTGCCTATCCGCCCTCTCTTCTGTCGATTCAGCTGATGTGTCGTCTGCCTGATCCTTTTCAGTTTATCTCTTACATTGTTTCCTTGTAATTGTCTGTTTCTCTGATTTCTGCGGATTTCTTCTCAATCCTTCTGTGGAATAGTTGTGTCTGAAATATACGTAAATGGCTTTAATAAACTTTTATGTAAAGTTTTGATCTTTCTTTAACCTATAAAGACGTCTCCATATGAGTGAAACATTCTTGAGAGGGACTTTAAACAGTATACAATAACAATCTTTACCTAAATCTTATTCAACTGTATGAACTGGAATTTCTGGATTTAGAATGCCGATAATTCTGTTCTATTTCCCATTTGTCCGATGATTTGCTCTTTCCTGATGTGAATAAAAACTCGGTTCAGTACTTTATTTCCTATCTCTGTTCTTGACTTTGCTATCATACTTCTGTTTGCAACTGCTCACAGGCCCTGAGTGTCGAGCATAGGACAAAATTTGATGCTCTCCACCGGCAAGTGGTGGCGTCTGCATATGAGTGAAAAATACTTGAGAGGGACGTTAAACAACACAATCAATTAATCTGTTTTATCCATATTTGCTCTTGCAACATTGACAGAAAAATCTTTATTTGTTCGTTTGTTGTTTAAGTTCCTCTCAAGAATTTTTTCACTCTATGAAGAAGCCACCACTAGCCAAAGGATACTGTTCATTGAATCAGTCGTCACCGGTGTAGACGTACGTATGCTATACAGCATCATACAGCGACAAAAAAATAATTGTTTCTTCTAATGCAGAAAGTAAGATACCAAAGCAACTTGCAATAGTTACACGGTCAGTACAATATACAAACAAAACCAAAAAACACACCAATGAAAAGAAATCAGAGGTAATGCAAGATAACCAGCACAAACACGGGTTGTCATTCCATGCCAATACCCGTGACAATAAAGCAGTCAATTGTAACGAATGCGAAGAGTATATCCTGGTGCTGATGTCGTCCATAGTACACATGTAATATCAAATATGGCGTTTGCATGAAAGTCGTGTTCAGCTTTTGGTTTATCAACATAATCTTCCATGCAATTGCAAACGCTTCAGATTCTCAGGCAACTCATCTACTCCTAAGCAAGGCATCGATGGCCATTCAAATAATGGGGTGCATACATGTATCCTATGGTGTCATACTTAGTAGCGTCACATACCTGTACTAAGCTTCAATAGGGGCTTTCCAATCCTCTGATAGTCCTAAAGTGTACCTAACGTTTTTTTTTTTCAATTTCCCTATATTTTGTGGCGTATACGTACTTTAAGCAAGTCTGCCAAAAAAATCTTACGTTTTCCAGGCTTTTTTCATGATGAAGATAATCTTTTATCTACCTGGTATATGATTTAAATAAATAATCAGTAATCGATCCTGAAATAACGAGCACTATTCAAGCCCCAAAGTCCATTAAACGATTCAAATCAGGAGCAGAGCAACCACAGACCTGTTCGTCAGAGGTGGGATCAGGTGCCATGGAGGCTAGCCTGTACTTTTAAATTAAGGCACCATTTCATATCTTCTGGCATATAAATAAACATCAATATTTGGTTATTAACACCTTGTTCCTCTGGAAGTCTCCAAACACCTACATTAATTATATACATTTCTCGTCCATCCATCTAATCGTAACACAGACGAATTTCAATTTACACTTTATGGGACCATTGCATATTTATTCGACTAATTCCTGAGACTTATGCGTTACTTTGAAAAAGACATTTGGTATTTCTTAAACAGTTAAAGAGAAAGCGAATGTTAAATAGTCTAGATTCTTTCTTAAACTTATTCATTTGCTCTGGCTGAATTGAATCTACATGCCTGTCTTAAGAAAAGTTTCTTTTTTAGAAATAATTTCCATTGAATATATAAATAAATGTGAAAGAGTGAGTCCTCAAGGTGAAATCATAAAACAGCTTTAATTTTCTAAAGACATGTCTTTAGATACACCACACTTAATAATGTTTACCCTACAACCAATATAAGTAAATGAAATGGGGTTTTACTGTTATAACAACGATAACAACGTTACATAACATGTAGATAGATTTTTCTAAAAGAAAAATCATTATTCATATCGGAAAGAATAAAAGTAAATTTTAAATTATTCAAATATTCCTGTTTGTAAGACAGGTAACACGCACACTTCAAATTTATCAATTTAAAATGCACAGACCTGCATGCCATACAAACAACGAAAAACACTCTGGGGAGGAATGTGCGTGCAAGAAGGACATTTAACTTCCGGAATCCTGTACTTTCAGATTTCGTTTTCAATGATAAATCTTTCTGTACTGTATTTTAATTATTTATCTACATGTATCTATTGCAATCTGAAGTCAAAGGTAAAAGGGGAAAGAATTATTTTCAGACATAAGTTTTGAGACCAACCTTTCAATAAAATCAAACATTTTATTATAAAAGAAGTTTTCCATCACTTTCTTTTGTAAATATTACTGTGTTGGCTCGAGTTAAAAAAAAATTGGCATTATATATATATATATATATATATATATATATATATATATATGAGATAACGATCAATATTCCAGCTCAAACTTAAACAATGCAAATCGGGAACTGAACAATCACGGACCTCTGTAACATCAACGGTGGGATCAGTTGCCATGGAGGAGTGACCATCCCATGTCGACCGGTAACACCCGTTATGTGCTCCTTGTCATGATCAGGAAATAAAGGGAAAATTTTTCGACAGTTCAGTGTGTAAATTATGGCTTAATAAGTTGGAAAAACTTCAGTCAACATTTGACTTGATGATAGATTGTATTTGCTGACAAGGCCGTTGTTTTGACCAAAGAACTCTTATACGAGACTGATGATATTACCCCCCGGTATCGTTTCTTCAACTTGTTTGTCAATAACTTACCTCGTTTTAGAAATTGTTCATATGTCGAGCATGCTCTTGTATCAATCTCGTATGCAGATGATAAAGTTATATTGCTGCAAAGTTGAGAAGTTGAAATTTGAAAAGTTAGGTCATCACGTTTATCATTAATCTTTGTTTTTAGTTTATCACGTACGTCATTGTTAATCGATTATTTAGTGTTTTAATTTAAAAGCAGACAATTGCCCATGATGTTTTTAATATATATTTTTTAAAAAAATTGCATCCATATTCTATGAATAATATTTCGAGATACAACTGGATATATTCAACTTCAAAATTTGAAAGAAATTCATTCTATTGTTTCATGCGCATATGTTTTATAACAGACGTTTATAAACACTACAGATTCCTGTACATACCATACAGAAGCTTCTTTAAACAGTTGCCGATACATGTACGAGGGTTGTCCCGTAAAATCGTGGACAAAGCGTCTTTCTCGAAAAGTAATGGGCGCACTAAGCTGAAAAGAGGGTGTTGCAGTTCTTTTGTTATTTTCCCTAAATGTGTAGCAGATGAAAAGAAGAATATTTATGTTGCAGATGTTTCAAATGCATCAATATATAAAGCACAACGAGAAAAAATATTTGGAAGCTGCGTAGTGACTTCCAATTTGCCACAAAATGATGTGAAAATTAGTCTCACGGCAAAATATATAAGATTTTCCGTTTTTTGAATAGGGAATCCCCACTGTTCTGAAAAAGTGCCTACTTGAAACAAAATAATTTTGATATATACACAAAGAGGCAGGAATTTTCTTCAAAACTGCCATCTCCGATTTTTGTTTCAAAGAGGCACAATTTTGAAAAACGCAAAAATTGAATAGAAATTATTCTACAAACGAAATGCAAATTGTGTACATTAGATAACACTGAGAAACAATCGTGTCGGAATTGGTCTAGTGGATATGCTGGTTGGTTACCAAATCGTACGTTTACCAGAGCCAGGGTTCGAATCCTGGAATGGATCATTTTTGCAAGAGAGAGATGTCAAGAATTTAATTGTTATGAGTAATAACTATATGCAGGATAAAATTATTTTCCTTAATACGCTGTGACTTAAAACTAATACTTTATTTAGTTTTGTCTTGGAAAATAAATTTACTGTATTGTTTAATAATTTATTATACACCACGCAACAAGTTGCGGGAGGTATAATGTTTTTGACCCGTCCGTCAGAGTGTCAGTCAGTCAGTCAGTCCTTTTTTTTTGTCAGCGCAACTCCTCATAAACCGCTGCACAGAATTTCGTCAAACTTTGCAGGTATTTAGGACACAATGTATAGATGTGCATATTACCAGGAAATTCCGATTCCATTATTTTTCCCGGGAATTTCTGCACTTTTTTACTTAGGCATTTGGCCATACCTTGAATATAGAGATGAACATTTTGTCAGCGCAACTCCTCATAAACCGCTGCACAGAATTTCGTCAAACTTTGCAGATATTTAGGACACAATGTGTAGATGTGCATATTACCTGGAAATTCCGATTCCTTTATTTTTCTTAGAATTTCCACGCTTTTCAACTTAGATTTTTGGCCATACCTTGAATATAGAGATGAACATTTTGTCAGCGCAATTCCTCATAAACCGCTGCACAGAATTTCGTCAAACTTTGCAGGTACAGACACGTGCCATAAGTATTCGATCAACATGGCGGTTTGTTTACGATTGAAAACGAAAGTGTCAAATTTCAAACATCTGCTGTAATGAAATAAAGTAATAAAACATATAAATATTGTTAATACTTCGTAAGATGTCCCTTGAGCCTGATTACATTCAAAATTCTGTTTGGTATGGACTTGTATAGGTTCTGAACATAGTTAGGTCGGATGCTTGTCCAAATGCCCCGAATTTCCTCCACGAGATCGTCTTTAGATTTAATGAAAGAAATGCGTGTCTGGAGCTTTCTTTTTATCAATAGCCAAAGGTTTCCAATAATGTTGATATCTGGCGACTGGGCAGGCCAACTTAAGCAGTTTATTCCATTCTGGGCAATGTATTCTTGAGTAGACCTTGCTCGGTGAACGGGGGCATTGTCGTCCTGCAAAAAAATATCCACCCCTAGGAAAATGTCGAGCAATCACTGGCCACAGGTTCTCTTCCAGAATGTCCTGATATTTTTGTGCATTTATGATACCATTTACCGGTGTAATTGTCCCAACACCATTCCAAGAGATACACCCCCATATCATTACTTCATACCTGGGTTGCGATGTCCGGGGTTGCACAAGATCGGGTCGCCAACCTTCGTTTCTCTTGCGCCAAATATGAACCCGCTGGTCGTGACCAATCATTATCTTGCTCTCGTCTGAGAATATCACTTTATTCCAGTTATTCTGAACTGTCCACCGCCTTTTCTCTCGGCACCATGCCAGTCTCTTTCGTCGGTTAACCTCCTTCACAACAAGTTTCTTTTTACTTACACACCTTCTATATTCATGATTATGCAAATGACGCTGAATAGTCCGCTTACTTACAGTTTCATTTTCAGTCCTGCCTTCATTAAATTTTGATGTAATATCACTTAAAGACTCCCGACGATGCGTTTTCACAAGCCTTTCTAAACCACGGTAATCCCTTTCTTTCATTTTCGCCGGCCGCCCACTTCTTGGTTTGTTTTCCACTGACCCTGTGGCAAAAAACTTTCTTGCGATATCGATAACTGTTGACTTTGGAATTTTCAACATCTCACTGACCTTGTGACGGGAAAGACCACTCTGTATCAAATCTATAATGATATTTTTCGCCTCCGTCCCAAGCTCCTGCCCTTTTCGACCCATATTTTCAAATTCGTAATTCTGACAACTTTCGCTAACTACAGACGACAACAAATGATCATGTGATACGTCATGTGACTAAAAATCTAAATTTATTAACACTTCGTCATCGATGACGTGTAGATACAAAAACAAGAGACTCAAAGTATGTACTTTCGTTTTCAAGCGTAAACAAGTCGCCATGTTCACCGAATACTTATGGCACGTGTCTGTGTTTAGGACACAATGTGTAGATGTTCATATTACCAGGAAATTCCGATTCCTTTATTTTTCTGGGAATTTCGGCACTTTTCAAATTAGATTTTTGGGGATATCTTGAATATAGTGATGAACAGTTTGTCAGCGCAACTCCTCATAAACCGCTGCACAGAATTTCATCAAACTTTGCATATATTTAGGACACAATTTGTAGATGTGCATATTACCGGGAAATTCCGATTCTTTCATTTTTTTCCCGGGATTTTCAGCACTTTGAGTTTTGGGGGAGCGTGGGGTATGTGAGCTTGCTCACTTTTTCTTTCATTTTTTACATACTGTAGTTATTGCAGTTTTGAATAATTCTGGTCTCTTAGTTACATGTAGTAGCCAAGATTTGATTTGAAACAAATGAAATGTCTTGGATGTAGCACCAACAGTGTGATTATGGGACGCAGTTTTATTTCACGAAAAATATTTTCGCACGATGCCTACAGTATATCTTTCAAACTACTGCTTTAGCCATTGTGATTTTTGTTGTCTCAACCTTTTTCGTGCAAAATGACGAAAGCGTGTTGCTGTATCAAGCAGGAAATACCCGCCGTAAACATAGTCCTCTACGTAGCTGTATCTATATTTACACATAACGAGGGTATTTTAAAATGTCCTTCTCGATGTATAGGGAATAATCGCGAGTTTCTGCAACACCTTCTTTGAGTAAATGTTTATTTATCATATTTAAGTGCATGATAATTTTTTTGATAAATATAGGCAAAAATAAAGATTTTATTATGCTTGAATGTGCACGGGGTATTGTCCTTCGGCGCACGTTAAAAAAACCAAGGTTTCATTAAAGAATACACAAGTTTGAATTCAAAATAAAAGTTTTAAAATTAAAATTATCCTAATTCAATTCCACAAGCAATTTTGTAGTCTTTGTAAAAATTTTAAGGCATTTGGTTAATTTTTAGCAGTTTCTCGAGCATTCGAAATGGGATAGTGGCAAACACAACACACGAAAAATGGCGACGCTTTATGACGTTACGGCGCACCGGAGAGCAGTTCCGTTTTAATTCGATGTTGTAATGACAACTTTAGAGACTTGAAATGACCATAGAAGAAAAAAGATTATAAAAATATCACCATATCTTAAGTATACAAATGAAATAGGAGTTTTCTTAGCGAATTCTTTTTGATTGAGTCCCTGGGGAGTACAAAACATACGGACAAACTCCTAATGTAATAGCAAAAGACGCTGTCACAGTAGACCGCCGATATGAGATTTTCTATTAATTGAATGATGGTGAAAATATTGTCCGTAACTTACTGGTAAATCTTCAGAAGATCGCATGAGGATGCCAATTAGTTCTTCGACTGTTTATGGAGACAAAAGAATGTGTATCAATGAAATTCCTAAATTTAATTCGGACTCATCCAACTTCATTTTTAGCGAAGATAAAACGTGACGCTGTTTTGGACACTTTGACGTTATGATCCAGGCGCCGTAAGGTGATACAATACATGGCATAAAATCACATAATTTGTTTATTTATGCATATATTTATCTGAAATTTGCTGTGTATATTACTAAAATATGTACTAAATAATAGTGAAAATTTCAGAACGCAGTGATGTTTATTTTTTTACACTAGACAACTTGTCCACGATTGCACGGGACAACCCTCGTACACTCAACTAGATAATAAATTTTCCTTACTTTCAAACAAATTTAAGGACAGATGGTACAAGCATTCTTTTCTTTGGAAGAGACTTGATATTATCTTACATGCTTTGTTACAACGCACTTTGAAAAAATGTGTATGGCGTGGTCAATATTCTTGCAGATCTTAGGTATGTTGAATAATTGAACCTGATTGATAACTCTTTGCTGATGAGGTCACTTAAGGATGTGAAAGTGAGCGATTTTGATTCTTCCATACTTTGAAAATTCTTTCTCTCTTAAATGTTTTACTGTACTTAATTTTTGCAGTATGCATGCATTTTATATGCAAACTAAAAATTTATTGAAAGTTTTCAACGTCATACCAGTTATGCTAACACATTATATTTGGGTGTACGCATCGGTACCTGGAAGGGGATCTTAGCAACACGAATGTTTTGCATAGATATATAAGCATTGGAAATTGGGACTTACATTTGATGGGGTGGGGTCCACTTTCAATTTTCTACCGACGGCTATGTACAATGTATAAGAAGAAAAAGTTGGACTGAGAGACCTTCTACTTGTCTTCTCCTTGTTCCCAGTGAGGTTAAATGAGTACATGTAGATTAAACGTTTTTGGAAAGAGAAAAATATCAGAAATACAGTCAATCTACACAGAGAGATCAGAAACTCTTGACTTGGGAAGATGGTAAAATCTAAGTATAGAGTTTTTGTTTTCTACATATTTTTTTGTCAAAGTGCGTTAAAAGTCCTCTTGCCAAAAATATTTATGTACATTCTTAACGCACTTTGAAATATTTTCTCAAAGTGCGTTGAGTGTGTCCCAAATTCAACGCACTTTGAAAAAATTTTTCAAAGTGCATTGAATTTGACCCAATTTTAACACACTTTGCAAAAAATTTTCAAAGTGCATTGCCACAATGCTTAGAAGAGTGGATTAGTCTTTGAATTTTTCTCCTTAGTCTTGGAAAATGAAATAGATTTGGAAAATAGTTCATTCTTCAACAAAATAACAAATATGGACAAATCATACTTGGTAAAGGTTTATAGATGAAAACAAATTTGAGAATATGATAGCTTAGTGTAAAAAGTGTAATATAAACTTTACAAAAATATACTAAGCCAGGTAAATTTTATGAGGAAACGTACAATGGTGAAAAATCACATAGGCTGATACCAGCAAATTTGACCACCTCTTGACCTTACCTTGGAGTTTGACCTACTTTCACAAAGAAATACCACATTTTAACCTTGGTCATATCTTTTGAACAGTTGGAGCTAAGGCTTTCATAATTCGCATGTGTATTTATTCATTTTATTGTGACAAGATCATTCAGCTGGTTCATAATTTTGAACTTGACATAAAAGTTTGACCCATTTTTAAAGAAATAAACCTAAAGCTTGGTCATAAGTTTTTAAGTTAGAACTTCAGCTTTCATATTTAAAAGGTATATTCCTTGTAATAAGACCTTTCTTTGGGTACCAACACTTTTGACCTTAACTTTTGGAGTTTGACATGCATTTGAGAGAATTCAACCCTCGCTATAAGCTGCCATACGGGGGCATCAGTGCTTCACAAACACATCCTGTTTAAAGTAGTGTTTAATCTAGATGAAGGCATAAATTTTCCAGCCTAAAAAAATCCCAAGATTGTGCTTTATATTTTTAGCAATTTATTTCTAGCAGGAAGTGGAAGGGTTTTTATGCGCGGGGATCGAAAGATCCGGGTCGTAAATTGATTTCGTCATGTCTGTCTGTTCGTCTATCTTTTATCAACTTTAACCTTCGTCATAACTTTTGAACCTCGAGAGATAGAGACTTCATATAGGTACGCATACTCCACTAATTAAGCTCTTTCATATGACACCAAGGTCAATAATCTTGTGACCTTGACTTTGACCCTATATGCAAAATGTTTTTTTCGAACTTTCGCCATAACTTTTGAACCAAAAAAGATAGAGAATCCATATTTTAAATGCATGTTCCACTAATCAAGTTCTTTCAACTGACACCAAGGTCAATGACCTTGTGACCTTTAATGTGACCTAGATGCTATAAAATTGCTTTTTCGAACTTTGTTGCCGCCGGATGCATAGTGTTTCAAACACATCGTGTTTTCATATGAAAATATATTTGTTCAGCATCTTTGAATCACTCAAATGACAGAAATGCTGGTCATTTTTGTGTGAAAATAGATTACACATGTATTCTTTTGTTTCTTCACAGCTTATCTTGCATTATACAAAATCGATGAAGCGTACTGGGTATAAGCAATATTAATGTCACAAGTATGCAACATCTCTGATTTTTCTGCACAGACATATTAATCTGTTTTCTTCTGTGAACATAATCATGAAATATCTCACAATTCTAATGATATCTTTTCATCGTACTTCTTTTCGAAATTTGAAAGAAAATATTGAATGAACTTTCTAACCAATTTTTGTACATGTATATTGAATTTCACTCTCTTGAAATACACCGTCCATTTGTAAGCCATTAAAATTGCAAAAATATTTCTGTACATTTGATCGTATCTAGTTCATTGGAGAAGAACGAACCTAAACATATTCTTGCATAAAACGGCAAAGGAAAATCAATACATTTTGGTTTTTAATTGAACCTTTTTCCATTGAAAATCTCAACTTTAGCAAATTTTTAAGTATAAATGCATTAAGGACTCCTTCTTCTTCGAAAAGATATAAACATACCTTTAGTTTAAAAACAATAAAACACATCTCATCGACAGACATCAGTCTAATAGGTCAAATGTTGCAGCACTATCGGTAAACATCTGGCTAATAGTTCAACATAATAGCATTATTACATTCTTATATTGTCATCTTTTGCCACAAAAAATCGTATCATTTAAATCATTCTTTGTTTTTAATTAATTAATTGGATGATTAATGACTTATGTACAACAAAAATAGCAATATTTAAGACGTACAATATACAAAAAAAATAAGAGACAGTTATACCAGCAATTTTGTGTTCCAAGACAAAGCAATGAATCCCTCCACCTTTATTTTGGTGTGATTAGCTTTCTTGTTACAATCCTTTTCGATCAATTCACATTTTACTTTATCACCGTTTCGCGCTCTGCAGAAGATCCAAACGCAACACTGTTCCTCCGTAACACCCCCAAAGCCACCGGCGAAAGTGACCGCGAACGATTGGCAGGTGGACACAGACTTGCGCGTCGTCCTCTAGGAACTTCCTCCGATAGTTCTCCTATCTCAGGTAAAACGGACATCCGCCGTGCATTTGCAAGAAGAGAAGTCCACTCGGGGGGTTCGCCATGATGTATGTGGGCTATTGTATTCCTCCGCCGGCCGTGGTACTTTTGTTTGGGCTTTTCTTCTTTGTTTTCCTCGTCTGATTTTTCGTCGTCTTTGTTTTTTCCGGTTACGTCTGTTATAACTAACTGGAAAGCAGGAGAGCCTCTGGGAATTTCTTTTTCCTCAAACTTCAATTTCGGATTAGTTACACCTTCAAAAATGTCTTCTAAGCTTCCTCTAGCACTCATTTTGTGATGACAGTTGGCTACTCGAATCATACACACTGGGAAGACAATTTTTACTTAGATGTGTTTAAACACATTGATCTCGATCTCTTATCTCTGTGTAGATAGACTGTATTTTTTATAATGTAGCGCAGTTAATTGTAAAACATAACAATAGCTAGAGATTTAAACACATTGCAAACGGCAGAGCATTTTAACAACAATTCTTGATTATAATTGGCAGGTACAGGTAAATAGATATCATTTTCGGGAGTAGATTTTTTTTCAACAAACAAAGTTTGAGAGGAATTTAATCTTGTTTTACCAGTAGCTTGGATATTGGAAGTATGAAAGATTTTGAAGATAAAATTGTCAAATTCGAAACTTTGATCAAATTTCCTTTGTGGTGCTATGAATTAATGTGTCCCATTTGTCAAAGTAAAATAGATGTGCAGTTAAAAGCTATCACAGAGAACGTCCAATATTGAATTTTCCCTTACTGATCCTTTTACGTAAATCTGCATAAAAGTGAATGGATATTAAACCGTATTTTAGAAACTGAACAATCCACTTTTCACCTTGTCAAAATGCTTGATTTTAAATGTATTGCTAAAGGAACAATGTTAGATGTTTTTTAAGATCATAGTTTATTTGGAGATTCAAGTACACAGCATTAAAATGTTCTTACCTCAAAGGCTCTTTTACCCGCCCACAAATTCTAAATCTTGTTTGATGAATGGCTTGTTTTAGAGTAATAAGTAAAAGTGTAATGGATACAAGTTAAACAGATTAATCATGTAATAATTAAGTTATTTTTTAAAAAACTGTAAACAAATATTATTTTTTTAAATTTAATTTTTTTTTTCATCGGTTTTACGACTTTGACAGTACTTAAACGATTTATTTGGGATATTTTAGTTTATTTATTGGCTAAGATTAATTTATTTCTTGAATGTACCAAGGTAAATTTAAAGCATGATTTAAGACCCATGCCCCATTAAAGACTCCAGTTCTTGTAATTATCAAAGAACTGATTTTACGTATAATCCGGAAGAAAAGGATGATTATTTCTGATAACCAGATCCCTATAGTAGGAACAGATGCTTCATATAAAGGATGTTTTCAACGTTATCACTTGCAATATCAGTGAAGAAAATTTCTAACAGTGTTGTATATATTCCGGCAAAAGTACATTGTGTTAACAATGAGTCAATGTCATTGGGAAACTTTGCAAATTCTTGTACATTTTATCATTAATATAAAACATTGCATTGAGGTTGACTATGAAGAAGATTTTCATAAATGCAAAGTCAGTTGTTCCTCTTAGCTTGAATTGTGTCTATTTTCGAACAAACTGAAAGTTGGTATTATGTGCATTTCCCAAGTGACAGATCTTATCTACCAAAGCAGAACAATTCATACCTTGTTTGTATATGGATATTTAACATTCTTTTTTACCTGTTGGCGATGACAGTGCAAACACAGGTTTGAGTTTTTTTAATTTTAAATTTTGTTTTGTCTTTAGGGTATTTAAACTTAAAGTTTATAGATATTTTATACTATCTAATATGGCCATATGACAAATTGGTTTGAAAAAAATGGTATGGCAACTAATGGGGTATAGAAGAACCTCGACAGATATCATGATTTCAATTACTGGTAATATCGAAATGACGTGTAATGTAAAAGCGTCAGTGCATTGAAGAAAGTTTGAATTGCATCAAACCATGGTCATAGTCATTGCCCTTATTACGAAAACGAGACATGTACTGAATCTATTACGTATCCTAGCAACATTTGTAGCTCATGTGTCATTCATTAGGAAATTCCTTACAAAAACTTATGATTCTTAACCACCAAATCGATCTTGGTAAAGATAATATTGGAGCCATGCTCAAAATTAACCTGGTTTTGGACAACTTCCTTGCTAAAATCTGAGAAATAGACACTGTACAGATTACATGAAATGTCTTCACGGAGAAGCAAAAAAATGATCCCTCAGGTTTTACAGAATCTTAAAGATAAAATCTTAAATAACAAGTAATCTACGTACTTTGAGTACCATGTAAATTGTAAACAGTGAAATGACTTACTTCAAATTTATTTTACAACCACTTCAAAAACATTATCTTATAATGTGTCATTCAGGGAACAAACGTTTTGTGTTGAATCCCTATACATATACTTGGGTATTACCGTATATTTTGCTTAGTATATATTGATCAAACTAAATAAACAGTGTGCACATGATAAAGATGATTTTAGAGCTTTGGACGGGGTTGGGGGTTATGGCTTAGCTTATAGTTATAGTCAAACTTCATAAAGAGTTTGGTCATTACAAGTAGAAACCAGGCATGGGGAGCATAAAACTTACACCAGCTCACTATCGATCTTGGTCTCACTTTTTCCAAAATAATAAATAGTAGAAAGGTGAGACTGAGATCAAAAGTGAGATCGTCTTAGTTTTTTTATTTTGGTCACCAGGCCAGATGTCTCTGATGAGATACCACACTAGCTCTACTGGTTTGTATTTAGAAGCACTTGCACTTGCAGATAGAATAATTTATCGTTAAGGTAGGTTCGTGTTTTTAAAAAAAAAATCGGTCAAACTAAGATATTTTTAAAATCATATTTCAATATACCTTAAATAACTCATAAGCAAACGAAATCACTAAAAATCCATACAGGCTGACTTTCATGCCCCTTGTCTCAGGGTATATAACAGCCAAAATTTACATACAGAAGTTTAATTTCATATTTTATTTTCTTATGCACCACATTACATTAAAGAGCAAGGTATGATAACGGCCAAATGTGGCCCTTATTTAATGTAAAAATCAGAACACAGTTAAAAATGTGATAGTTTGTAGTTAAGGGGTCCCGACCCTCTGCTATAATATTCACTTTAGAAAATTTAAAATTTGTAATATTGATTTTCATAAACAACAATAAACATTTCAAAATCATGTTAAAAAAATAATCATGAAGCGATGCTTCCTAAGTCAGAAAATCACCAATGTTGTGGTAAGAAAAAAAGTACATCTGTGAGGAGGAGTTATCTTTCTTCTTAATATTTCTTCATGTTAAAAAAATGTCATACTAGTAAAAATTCTGTATTAAGTACTTGAAACATTAAGCCATATTTAAAATGGTCCTTAAAAAGATACATCTTAGTCAATTTATAAGGCTTTTGAAGTTGGATTTAAATGTTTTATTGTTAAATATAATAAAACAATTAGAAAGAAATTGGCAAAAGAAATAGAAAGTAGTGTTTCCATCATATGTTAGATTTCATCGAATTGACTACTTAGAGTTCTCAATTAGGAAACCCTGATTAAGGAAACTGTGAGTAGTATTCATATTTTGTACTTTGAAAATTATCTGTCTTATCAGAGGGTCGGTACTCCTTAAGAACTTAAAATGATGCTTGTATTAAAACCAGCTCTAATTTGGATTCAAAGCTTACACGGAGGCAACAAGAGGATGCAGAAGTCGGGCATTTCCAAAATTTCCTCAATTCTCGTCGAATTTCGTCAAATTGGAGACATTTTTCACTTCCGGAAACGTAAAGCTCAAGCTTGTCTAGCTGAGATTTTTATACATAAGATGCATCTGATACTAGTGTATGCAATAATTTGGTAGATAAGCAAGCTTTTGCTCTATATTACTGAACCAAAATATGCTCTAAAATCGATAAATATTTTTATAAAAGTGAGAAAAATTGACATATTTTCTTATCTTCCTGTGACCTCTGTGTATCTAATAACTTAGAACCAATAATCATTTTGTGACAGGGGTAACAAAATATTTTTAAAAGATAAACTATTGTATCAGTCTAAAAGAACCCCTAAACCAGGGGCCAAAAGGGGGTTTAGCCAATCTTGTCCTTTATGTGAAAATAAGTTTCACCGGAAGTGGAGCAGTCTTGAAAAATTCTTAGGCTCTTGGAGGTGTAAAACGTGTATTTCTCTCGAAATTTAAATGTAAATGCATTGATAAAGGATTTATTTTTTTTCACGTTCATTTAAAAATACTTTAAAAATATGTGTTTCATAAAAATAATTACACACAATTATCAAAAACAAGTTGTGAAGTGCAAGTGTTAAAAAATAATCAATCATTTGTAGACAATAGACGGACAGTCACATGACTTTATCCGAATTCCCGCTTTCACGAACTAACATCGGGCACTCTTAGTCTAGCCGTCAAACTGGTTAGATGTCGATCCATTTATTCTATACTGTAATCAATTTTTGTCCCCCGCTTAAAAAGTGGGGGACACTAATTTTTGGTTTGTCCGTCCGTCTTTCTGTGTGTCTGTAACGCTTTCGTTTCCACACGATATCTCGAGAACCCTTTGAGCTTTCGCTTGAAATTTTGCATAGCAACTCTCTATGGAGTAAAGAAGAACCCTATTGATTTTGAGGTCAAAGGTCAAGGTCATAAATTCGTAAATTCTGTCTGTTATAACACTATCGTTTCCGCGCGATATCTCGAGAACCCTTTGAGCTTTCGGAATTAAATTTTACATAACAACTCCCTGTGGCCTAAGAAAAGCCCTTTTGATTTTGAGGTCACAAGGTCAGAGTTCAAGGTCGTTAATGTATACATTCTGTTTGTGTGTAACACTATCGTTTTCGGGCGATATTTCAAGAAGATTTTGAGCTTTTGCAATGAATTTTATACAAAACTCCCTAGAGCCTCTCTCGTCCCTCTCAAAGTGTCCCGCCCCGTTTGTTTAATTAGAAGTGTCACTTGGCACTATTTTTAGCACAGGGGCATGTGGAGAATAATTACGTATAATACAGGTTGTCGGCGGACTTTTCATTCTTATTACATCTTTTAGTCTAGAACTGTTTAATACAGGCTAAATTAGGCACCATGCATTGTGTAAAATTTTGACAATAGCGAATATATAATAAATATATACATGTATGTGACCTAATGTTTGCATATAATTTGCGACATTTAAAAAGTGGCTTTGGGTGTAGTGGTAAATGTATGCCTCTCGCTTCATCATTACAGTGTGAGAGATATTCTATTTAAAAAGAATCTTCCATTCACATAATAAAGAATAAGCAATCAAATCTTTATATCCATATTGGCATTTTTATTTGCACAATATACATGTACACATTTAAAAGTTTTACAAATTCAGTCAGGGGGGGGGATCCGACCTCCCCCCCCCCCCGAACTGCGCATGGTCTTTCCCTAACCGGGGGACACAAATTCTCTGAATTAGCTTGTTTAATTTTGTTCTGCTATAAGGCTGGTTAAAATCTGGGAACATATTTGAAATATTTGAATTAAATTGTATGGACGCTGTGGCCTACAATCCTCAGCATTGAGCAAGAATTATATAACTAGAATTTTCTAAGGAATAGTATTACGCACCTGTCGCCATTTACATCATCATTAAAGATAAATAATTCAAAGAGAAGTAAGCTTTTCATTTGCAACTGACATGCAATGAGTGAAATTTTTTAAAATTATCATTAGACGGGTCATGTGACCCGTCTATTAGTTTATTGTCAGCTGTGGCCTCAAAACGGAAGCTGTGTTGAGAGCAAATGAATTAAATCTACGCTTAAAAAAAAGGAGTGCTGAAATTGTTTCGATCAAAGTACAAAAATCCTAGATCAGACTAAAGTCAGTTATATGAAGATTGTTTTCCTCAAATGAGGGAAGCATTTGGAAAGAACAAAGTACGGTATTAGCCAAAAAATGCTGCGTTTCAGATCTGCTCCGTTCAAAACATTTTAAAAAGCCTAGGGTTTTTAAAATTAAATATACAGCTCAACGCACTTTCTAAGCTCACATAGTTTTTCACACAAATTAAGGTCACATTGTTATTATGCGATATTGTGTAACGAGTCAACAAAATACGTTTTTAAAGTGATATCTTCCGTATTTTGTAAGTTTATTTAACTAACTTAAAATATTATTCACACATAATTATTAGTGAGATCTCGATATACTCTTGGCGGATGGATTGTGATACATGTAGTTCTCAAATGTTTTTTTTTCATGGTTACTCGTTAAATGTAGCTGTCTATTTACCTGTTCTTTTAAAAGCAGTTCTTTGCCTTGCATTGACTCAAAAACGGTGCAAATCATGTAACTTTTGTATTTCTGTACAATAACATGACTCTATAGAGCGCAAGATGATAATAGTATTTCTCATTTGTTCGGCTGCATTTTTTACATGTTAAAGAGCTGGACAACTTTTCTAAATGTTTATTAGCCATGCACTTTTTAAAAAATGTCAATATTTTTATCCGATTTCCTTTCATATCATTGTACACACTCCCACGACGAGTATGGAAAATGTGCAAATTACGTCGAAAATACTGGTGTTGCTAAAACGCGGAACGGAACGGAAAATAAATGTAAAGCAAAGATCCTTGATTCGATATAAATCAGACATAAAAGGCAATATTCATCATATAAAAGTCATATCTAATAAAAACAAAAAATAATCAGAA